ATTTTATGATGAAATGTTTGTATCAGGAGCAATACCGCTTATCAACCGGCCTACTCGAATAACAGAAAACTCAACCACCCTTATAGACAATATTTTAACAACAATTATATATGACAATTTTTTTTTTTTTTTTTTTTTTTTTGTATTTAGTATTTGGGTGTATTTGTATTTAGGTGCTCCCAGAAGTCCTTACGGTCTTATCATAGAGCACCGCTGGAGAGCATTTAACAGGAAGTTCACGCCTCCTTCCGTACCAATGTCGCTTGTTGGGCTAGAGATGGCGTCGAACCCCGGACCTCTGGGTTCTGAGCCAGAACTCTAACCACTGCGTCACGGCTGACATTCAAAAAGTCATTATAATTACTATGACATTCAAATAGTCATTATAAAATCAGATATATCAGACTATTTCCCTATTTTTCTAACAATCAACACAATTTCAACTCCTAACATTAATAAAAGTCAAACTATAAGAAAACGTATTTTCAACAAAAAAAAATTTAGAAGCATTTAAATATCAATTATCATTGTTAAACTAAAAGCATATAAATTTTAAAGTAGACATAAATGTAATCTATAATATAGTTCTTTAATACATTTTTCTCGGTGTACGATGCGAATTTTTCCGTTTCCGAAATAACCTTAAAACCAAAAACCTTAAGCAGTCCTTGGATAACCAAGGGTCTTAAAAAATCTTTAAAAATTAAACAAAAATTGTATATAAAATATTTAAAAACAAAATCTCATGCTAATTTACGCATATATAAAAACTACAAAACTCTATTTGAAAAAATTCGTACAAACCTAAAAAAAATATTATTACTCTAATCTAATCACTAAATACAAAAATGACTCAAAACAAATATGGAAAATATTGAAAGAAATAACGGGAAAACAGAAAAGCTGTTCAAATTTCCTTCCGAAAATGATTAAGATAAACAATGTATGTGTATATGAACCAAATGAAATAGCAAAAGAATTTAATACATACTTTACTGATGTCAGAAGTAGGTTGGCTGATAGGATTCCATCTACAAATATTTCCTTTAATGACTTTTTGACAATTTCAAATAATTTACTTTCTTCCCATGATTTATTCCTAGACTTATCGATTGAAGAGTTTGAAAGAGCCTTCAAATCTTTAAAAAAAAACAAAGCAATCGGTGCGGATGGAATAAACAGGAACATTATTATAGATTGCTAAGAAAGTTTGAAAAATATTCTATTTAAAGTTTTCCAAACATCTATACAACAAGGTGTTTTCCCTGATCTATTAAAAATTGCCAAACTCAAAGCTTATAATTATAGGCCGGTATCTCTTACCTCTGTACCGTGCAAGGTAATGAGACAATTATAAAAAAGAGGGTTATGAAACACTGTACACTACACAATCTAATTTCAAAATCTCAACATGGATTTGTAAATTACAGAGGTTGTCTTGCTTCAGTACCATACAAAAGACTCCTTCACAAGATTCAGGCCTACGGCATTAGAGGCTAGCTATTCCAAGATCTCTGCTTGGCTAAGTGAAAGAAAATAACGTGTAGTTATTGGGGAACAAACTTCCGAGTGGAAAAGAGTTACAAGTGGAGTCCCTCAAAGATCAGTACTTGGACCACTGCTATTTGTGCTTTTTGTCAATGACTATCCACATGACATTAGCAATTATTCCAAGTTATACGTCGATGACAGCAAGATCATAGGAATTATAAATAATAATCAATCATCCTCTGATTATGAAACACTGCAAACGGACATTGACACTGTTGTAAGTTGGTCACATAACTGGCTTATGCACTTCAACATCGAGAAGTGCAAAGTAATGCACGTTGGTTAAATCAACACATACCAATAGCATGGCTGACATCAGCGGTAACCGACATAACCGACATCTCCAACATAACCGACATCTCCGACATGCTTGGAGCGCGACCTTGGTGTACTAATATCCGACAACCTCAAAGTGAAAGCACAAATAGAAGCAGCAGCTTCGGTCTCCACATCTTAAATCGGAAATCGTCCTTCTCAAACGTGTGCAAAAGCGTGCAACAAAAATTATATCGTCGATTAAACATTTTAATAACGAAAAAATACTACAAATACTAGATCTAACCACGCTGGAAAAACACAGAATTCGCAGTGACCTTATACTGTAATACAAAATTGCTCATCAGTTACAAGAAGTTAACTTTTACATACCATAAGCCCTGCCTTTTTGTTAAATTCACAATATAATCTAAAAAGAAACAGCCAATTTTAAAAACACAACTAATCAAAAGAAATTCAGAACGTCAACACTTCTTTACAAACGAAGTTACTAACCGATGGAACAAATTAGCTTAGAATGTAGTTGATGCACCCACTGTGTATTTTTTTTAAAAACACGTTTAAAATGCTGCTTCGGCTGCAGCAATAACCATTGTCAGCATAGGAAAGCCTGATGTGCTTCCCTTCATCAATTCAATCAAGAAGTTGTATTGATTACTGTAATAAATGAATAATAAAAAAAACGACATCAAGATTGTACTTAAACGCTTAATCTTTATACGTAGACGCATATTAGTACGTTTATAATAGTTTAAAAATATATTATTTTGAAGGTTCGCCAATAATATTCAAGTATAAACATTTAAAATGGCGCAACGAAACGACAAACAACAACTTTTTTATAAACTTCATATTAGATGAATGCTATAATACTATAAAAATGAATGCAACTAGGATATACAACTACTATAAGAATGAATACTATAAGAATGAATGCTATAAGAATGAATACTATAAGAATGAATACTATAAGAATGAATACTATAAGAAGAATACTATAAGAATGAATGCAACTAGGATATACAACTAATGAAACTTTAAACTTTAGTAATTTAGAAAATATTTTTTTTGATTTTTTAAAAGTTGATTTAGTTGTCTTAATCTAATATCGTGTTATGACTTGAAGCGAGAAAAGAAGCCTAAACTAACATACGCTTTAAAAGTGGTTTTATTTAATTACCGAGTTTTATTAAACTTTTTGCTGAATAATTGCTAATGGGTAGAATTATGCAGCATATTCCAAGAATTCTTTTTTTAATGTTTTAATAAAAATCATTTTAGTGAACTTTGTTGTTTTTTGTCCAGTGAAAAATCGTTTTTATTTTTATTGTCAGTTACAAGCATACTTCCAAGACGACTTTAAATTTCTTTGATGTTGGCGGCTCGATGAACTTCGATCTGTTTTATACTTCCATAGTTTTAAGCACAAATATTTGGTACCAGCTAAAATAATGTTAAATTTTGGGATTAAAATGGTTGCCAAAATAAATAGCAAAAAAGTTTCTATAAATTTTGCACTTAATAGTACATTAATTATCTTTTTTATAGTTTGTGCCAACTTTTTTTTTTTTTCTTGAGACCCCAGAAAAACCCCAAGAAGTTTTTTTTTAAATAAATGAAAGTTAAAAATGTTACCTTAATTTATACTTTTTAAGATTGCGCACTTTGGTTCATAGTACTAGAAAAACGTACCATAAATGTTTTTTGCTCAAACTTCAATTTCCATACTAAAATTAAAGTTTAATTTTTTGTAATAATTTAATAGTTAATCTTTACTATAATGTCTTTACTATAATTTCGTAAGTTTTTTTGTCAATTTTTCATTTAGAATTAATTTTAATGGACATGTATTCTATTATTTTTGCATTTTGCGGTCAAAATGTTATCAGCAATATTTGAACACTACATCATTTAAAAAATAATATATAAAGAATTGAAAAACTTATATAACTGCAAGAAATTTATAGTAGAAATTAAATAGAAATTATCAATTAGATAAGAAATAGAAGCAAAGCTTGTGGAAGCATTAAGGATTGCCGAAAAAGAAAAAAAGATGTCTGTCTCGAGTTTTATGGAAAACACAAACTTCACGGAGAAAATATCATAAAACATTTTGCAGTACTGCTAATCGGTCAACTTTCAGAAAATCCCAATAAAGATTATATAAAACTTCGCCTTCATCATGCCAGAAAATGTTCTAGATATATAGCTACAAATGAGGACGCATTTCATACTCTTCTGTACACTCCGATCCCTTCATCACCAGCATTAGAAAACCGTATAGCAAAAATGTCAGATATTTTGAAAGTCAACCTATAATTTATTTCATAAAAACTGCATAAAAATTGTTATTAATAAACTATTCTGAATATTTCTATAATAAGCATTTTATAAACTCTTAAAAATATTCATGTAAATGTTGCAATATGTGCAAACTAATTAATTACACGCAACAATTAAAAAATCAAATCAATAAAGGAATTAAGCCTAATATAAGGATTCATTTAATATAAATTTCAACACTTAATATTTAGTAACAAAAAAGTTATTGATTTTTGATCCAAAACAGACCTTTTATTTTCCAGTGCTGCACTTTAATATTTACAAAAAATTTTAGGGCTACCGAGCTCAAAGAGTAAAAACAGAGGCAACTAGCCCCGGTCTCCCCTACTCTTTTTCAAAAAAGTTTACTCTTTAGGAAAAATTTCGCTGATTTATGCGCGTTAGTTAATGAGAAAGTTGGGGCGATTAGAATGTTACAAATCTGGTTGCAGCAGACTTAAAGTACAACGTGATTTACTTTATAAAGTAAACGGTAAAATTGTTACATAATAACACTAGTCAACTACATCACCATTTTTGGTTGTAGTCTATTGAAATAATAAAACATATAAAAAAAGGGAATTTTTGAAATTTGTATACAATCTTCTCTCAAAAAATTGTCCATAAAAAAAACTAAAAACAGTTAATAAATATTGCGTTTGTGAATTTTTGAGTAACATAGTTAATACTGATTTAAAATTTTAAATAATTTTTTTTATTATTATTTCGAATTCTAGGTTATGAAAATATAAAACAACGTTATTAATAAAATATTCCTCAGCTAATGAAACTTTTTTTTTAAGTATTTAATAAAAATATTATTCTGAAAATTATTAAAAACCAGATAACGGTTAAAAAATTAAAACATTTCTTTCCGAAAAAAAAAAGAAATAAAGTCGATGTTTACATAACTAGATAAAAAAACATGAGAATATTAAGTAAACCATGACATAAAACCAATCGACAATCCTGAACTTTGAACAGTTTCTGATTGAGACAATGGTTCAGATGCAGTATGATTATTAGAAGAAATCTTATCTTTTGTCAATGTATTAGAACTTGTTTTAGCATCATTATTTGGATTTTGAATATTTGCAAGATTTAGAGCACTTTCTAATCCAAAAGGATTCGGTTGAGATCGCAGTTTTAAATTTACAAGTAAACTTGCAAGATTACCGTGGTTACCTCGGTTAATGTTATTTAGTGTATTATTCTTTGATTGTACTTCGGCTGCATCGTCTAGTTCGTGAGATAAACTGGGGTCTACATCACTCATAGAGTTCTGATTAGTTTGCTCAAATGCCGGCGTAGAACGAGAAAAGCGAAGCAATCTATGACTATAAGCAGGTAAATCTGTCGGATCCGTACGATTAATTAAACCTAAAGGACCACCAACGTTATCTAAACCTATAGAATTATTCAAAGATTTTGTTTCCTCCATAATCAACTCTGAAGTACGCGATTCAGAAATTCTTCTTTCTGCGGCTTTTGTTAAGGCACGTGAAACGTTTGGCATATCCTTATAATCAGATCGAGGTGAAACAACTTGAGATTTAGGTGACTCCGAAATAGATTGCAAAATGCGCCGTCCTGTTTTTGCTTCAACATTAACTTTGCTTATTGCGTTTGCTATCATACCAATAACTTCTGATTTGGATTTGTCAGAATTTGTTTCATCTTTTAGCAACATTCTTCCTTGACGCAAAGAAGTAAGAGCATTCGATGTTCGTGTAATTATTGTTCGTTTATTATGTGTCTGATCAAGATCACCAAAAAAAACATTTGAATTTTCTGTAGAGGAAGGTGTAAAACTTTGTTCATGTTTTTGTTCTGGTATAACAAGATTATCAGGTTTTTTTCTTGGAGGTGGGATAGGAGTGTTATTTAAAATTACTTTGTCTTCTGATATGATACTTATATTCTCTTTACTAGGTTCAGAAATACTGTTTATACCGCCATTAACATTTTTTGATGCTAAATGATGCCATTTGTTTAATGTATCTGAACCTTTATTTTTCATAAAAAAAAATTAATTTTATTAAATTTTTCAATCAGAGAAAATTGAGTACCTTTAGTCTCAAGTTATTTCTAAGTTTTTAACTAAAAACAAGTACCTTCCATAGGCTTTACGATTTGTAACCTTTTAACTGATTTTTTTCGTGCAGTTTCTAAAAAAAGAAAAAAACTTTTTTTATTCGTCTATTATTAAAATATATGTAAAATTACTTTAACAAAACACAAGTAACAAAAATTTATTAAAACAGAGCTGTTTCTTAGATTTTAGCTTATTATCTGTTGTAAGTTTAAATAAAGTTGAAACTACAATTATAAAATTAATATTATAACAATCCAATAATACAAAACTTATGTGGTAAAGTGAGAGTGGTAAAGTAATAACTTTGTTAACAAAATGTTTCAAGTTCAATGTCCCTGATAGTACCGTACTATCAGTTTGTTTCTCCTTGTATTCTCGCAGCCATAAAGGAGATAAATACATAAAAAAATATTTATCCTGTTTTTCTTTGAAACAAATTTATTATTTTTTAAAGATTTTTTAGATAAAAAAACATATTCTAGTACTAAAGTTGTAATATAAGAAATAATATAATTATTAATATACATTACAGTAACGTATTTGCAAACAATGTGTCTGATATGTATTCGTATTTGCAAACAATGTGTTTGATATGTATATGTATTTGCAAACAATGTGTTTGATATGAATTAAATTTTCAAAGATAAAGAATTTAGACATTCTGAATTTTAAAATTTTCTTTTAATTGTTAAATAAAAAAATCAAGCATGAAAAAAAAAAAAAAAAGTACCATCAGGAAGCGAACTTATATTTGATGATATATCTAGATAAGTGTCATCTGAAGTGTAACTGGATGTTGAAGGTGAAGAACGACCAGATGTAGACAAAACTTCAGAACTCTTTGTGTTTAAATATCGAACACTCTTTAATGTTTTAGTAGCTTGCTGCCTAAAAATATAATTATAAACGGAATAAGTGTGAAACTAGAATAAACTTGGAATACAAAATACAACACAGTTTCATAAAATACCTTAAGCTTTGATTATTAAGAATGTCTCTTCGAACTGTTTCTTCAATTTCATTGGCTAATGAGTCCTAATTTATACAAAAAATGTAAAAAAACAAGTCACATTATTTACTTGAAAAAAAAAAAAGGGTATTTAGCTTACATGCAACAATGAAGTATTAGACGAATCGCTAAGCCACTCAGATGTGTTTGATGGAAACCTTTGATAAAAATAATTATCAAACCACTTACAAAGAACATAAAAATAAATAAATAAAATTAATAAATTCAAATCACTTACTCAAGTCTTGTTTTAAGTTCTTTAAGTTCTTCTTGGTTTTCCTTCAAAATATCAGCAGCATCTCGAAACTTCTTATGCATTTCTGCGAGCTAAAGATCATTCATTATGATACAATTCACAACATTGGTAGACACAAGTATATATATATATATATATACACACAGACATATATATATATATATATATATATATATATATATATATATATATATATATATATATATATATATATATATATATAAACTATTTTAACTTTTACTTGATGCTGGAGATTCTCTTTGCTCATATTACATTCAATTAGCTGAATCTGCAGCTCTTCATTCTCCAAACTTAACTAAAAGAGAGAAAATTATCTAAAACTGAATCAAAGAAAACAAACAACAAATTGGCATGTTTAAAATATACTTGTTTTTGTTTCTTTTGAAGTTCAACAACAGTTTGAATTAGATTAGATATTTCTTCTTGTTGTTGCATGTTATCTTCAAACTTCTCTGCAATTTCATCTGTTAGATTTGAAATCTGCTGTTTTGCTTGGGCTGTTTGATATAGAAAAAAAAAAAAAAAATTGATAGTTATTATTATTAAATAAAACTATTAAAAATAAAAATAAAAACTAATAAAAGTAATATTGGCATCATTTAAATAAACTATTTGAACAGGTATATAAAAAAATAATATTGCTAAATCAGAGTGGAGAATAATTTCCTCTTAAATAACATTTAAAGAAATTCAACATTAGCAAACATGGTTTATTTTATATTAACAAAAAATTTAAAGATTTTAATAAATAGTTGATATATTATCAAGTACTGCTTATGTATAATTATTAGAAAACATAAAAAATCAACCATGCCAATAGCCAGTAAAAAAAAAAAAAATGTACTGACAGTTAAAAACCCATATGTAAAGTGCAATCTATATTGTTTATAAATTTGACAACAGCAAACTATCAATTACACTAGACATCAGCATTCCACTAATTACACCAGACATCAACCATCAACTTACTCACCAAATCCTATTTTTAATCATGACATTTTGCTGAAAGTGTTTTGCAAACATAGCTTACAACATCTTGCCATCATAGCTAAAATAGATCATGCCATCTTGCCCTCAGAGCTGAAATAGCTTAGTTATATAGAATTAGAAGTTGAAATATTTAGAATATAAAAATCATTATAGCTGCAATTCCAGCTTCTATCCAAGTTTTCTAAAACTTGGATAGAAGCTGGCATTGCAGCTGAATAAAAGATGCAAACATGAAAAAAAAGCTGTCTTGTGCCATAATAATAAAACTTTAAGAGTACACAATGGAGAATTAACATAAAATCAAAATATTAAATTCAACCAAAATAAAAAGTTACATAGTTGTTCAATGCAGTCAAAAACCAATGATTCTTCTTGCTGCTCAGCTTCGCTCGTTAGAATTCTTAAATTCATGGCCTAAATTAGAAAAACTGAAAAATTAGAGAATGCCCATAAATATCTGATTTAAATGTCATTAAATAAACTGTAAATTCCTAAATTTATAACAAATATATTCAGAAATAAAGCTGCATTTAAATGAATAATATAAATTCTGCAAACTTTGTATTATAACCTAACATTTGATTTAAATACAAATGATTGTTTAAAAAATGACAAAGCCTTTTATGCACTTAGTAAAACAAACAGATTTACTTAACAAAATAATTTAACATATTTATGGTCAACTTAATAAAAACTACTATAATAATGTTAAATATGCTTCGCTTCATGAAAAAGTATAACATAATTATGTTTCACTTTAGAGAACAAGTTAACATATTTAAGACTATTACTATTAAAAGTTGATTAGATATAAAGATGCTTCAAATTTAATGATAATAATGGTAAATTAATTTAAATCGGAAGCAATTCAAATTGTATGCAGTGCTGTGCCTTGTGGGTTGGAGGCCTACCCAATAAATCTGCCATTAAGCCCCCAAAATCTTAAAAAAAAGCTCATTAAATTGGCAAAAGAGGCCTCTAATTTACAAAAAGGCTCCCTTAAACTTGCTACCTCCTTTCCTAAATAGGAAGTGTACAGTAGCCTAACCATGGCTATGAGCAAATGATATTAAAAAAAAAAATTTAAATTTAGTAAATATTTCAAATTTTTACTAAAATTTAACACCTACAAAGTCAAAATAATGCAATGGTTTAAGAATGTTAAGAATAATTATAAAATTAAAAATATAATTAGTTATTATGATTTATGATTTGTTTAAAAAAAATTTGAATAAAATTATACATCATTAAATAATTGCTGATTGTTTCGTTCTAAACTTCTGCACCTTTTTTCAAGCATTATCATGTCTTCATCTTGACATCCATCGCTAAAAAAAAATATAAAAATTGCAAAAGTTAAAATAAAAACTACTAAATTGCAACAAAAAAAAAATCGTAATGAAAAAATATATTTGAGTTATAAACTTAAAAAATAAAAGTAAATGAAGAATATAAGAAAAAATCCTCAGTCATATTTTCAGTTTTTTTGAAGTTATAGAGTGAACCCTTAATAAAAAGCATATTAATCAGGGATGCGAGTCCCAAGGAGGCTTCCGGATTTGAAAATCACAAAAAAATTACTTTTTTCTAGTTTTTAGTATCCAGGGCTTTAAAAATATAAAAAAGCTTATGGGCTATTAATGGGGAAAAAATCAAGACATACAGGTCAGAAGGACAATCAATTTATGAACCCATGGTCCTTAGGTATAATGGTTGCAAGGACTCTGGGACTCCAGGACTTTGGGTTTATAAACAATAAGTTCCAAGTCATTAAATATCATAAACTTTTTTCTTATAGCAGATCATTAATCAACTAATATTTGAGCTTCTGGAAACCATGAAAAAATAAAGTTATAAAGCCAGAGTCCTTTTGGGACTCCGCATCCCTGATATTAATATATGCTATAACATCTGTTTATAATCTAAATATTAATACGACAATGAATATTATTATTATTAGTGCACATAGTTACGCATTGTTACGCCTATTGTTTGTTTTGTTAATTACGGTTCTGTATTGTGTAAAATACACTATAGTAAATACACTACAGTTGTTCCTAGACTTTTCTAAGCGCTGTTATATATTCCACTCTGTCTTTCGAGTAAAATCAGCAAGCAAAATGGAGCTGATGCACTTATTTTCAAGAAGAATTGATGTTGTTCATTTTTCAAAATAAAAATTTAAATAATTGTTAGTTTGTTGTTGCTTATTTTTATTTTTTCTAATTTTTATAGCCTGTTTTTATTTTTTTAGAAGTTATAACTAAAATGATTGGTAAAATAGTTTTTTTAGTAAAATTTTTTTTTTTTTTTAGTAAACTGTTTCATTTTGTCGTTAGTCTTTTTAGAACATTTTAAGGAAGTATTGTTTTATTTTTTAGAGCAGTAAAGAGAAGCTGATGGCTTTTTTAGTAAGTTCAGTTTGTTTTCTTATTTATAGATTAAGATTGTTTTTTGTAAGAATTAAATAAAAAATAAAGTTTTATATATGTATTGTATATGAAAAGTTAAATAAAAGACTGTTATTTGTGTTCATGTAAGTTTGTATACACGAGTTTGCATTTATTTTAGTCTATTTTATATTTCTCTATATCTATACTATATGTATATTTTCTTTTAGCAAAAATAATTAAGAATAGAAAAATAAAAAAAATTTCTTCTGGAATTTGTCAAAAGAGTGTTGTATTATGCTTCATTTTAAGGTATCTAAATATGTATTTTTCATTTTTTAGAAGAAGTGAGAACTAAATTGACTGGTAAAATAGTTTTTTTAGTAAAATGTTTCCTTTTTAAGAAAACTGTTTCAGTTTTGTCGTTAGTCTTTTTAAAACATTTTAAGCAAGTATTTGTTTTATTTTTTAGAGCAGTTAAGAGGAGCTGATCGCTTTTTTAGTAAGTTCAATTTATTTTCTCATACATAGTTTAAGAATTTTTTTTATAGAAAGAATAATGAGAATAATATTTTATTTATGTATTTAATATGAAAAGTTAAATAAAATAAAAATGCTATTTGTGGTCATGTAAGTTTATATACATAAGTTTGCGTTTATTTCAGTCTATTTTATATTTCTCTATATCTATATGTATATTTTCTCTAAAGAAAAATAATAAGGAATAGAAAAATAAGGAAAATTTCTTCTGGAATTTGTCAAAAGAGTGTTGTGTTATGCTTCATTTTAATGTATCTAAATATGTATTTATTAGAAATTTTGAATTTTGTTCTTAAATGGTTTCTTCTTTTTCATTACTTTAGATAAATATATACTGACTGACATAACTTCATTTTTATTAACAATGTTGTGCATTGTAGTCTGCATTCTTTGTTACATAAAAAAATAATTGATGCTAATAAATGATTTTTTATAGTTGTTAAAAGTTTGCATATATGCTTATATTATGCTCGATAAATATGTGTATGTAGTGGTTAATGTTATGTAGTTGTTTTATAAATGTGTTTTTTATAATAGTATGAAATGTATTTTATCCAATGTGTATATGATTGTTAAATGAGGTGTTTTTATATGTTATATAACATTAAAAAATATATTTTGTTTTATAGTTAGTATATATGTTTATAATGTTGTTTCCATGATTTCAAAGTGGTGTGACTTGGCAAACGTGTAGAGCAATATTTGTCAACCTTACCAATCAAGCGATGTTACTGCTTTAGGTCTAAGTTTTGTCTAGCCTTTAATATAACTATACTAAAAAATACATAACATTATCTTTGATAATTTTTTGCTTAATGTTGTCATCTTTATGTTGGTGTCTGTTGTTTAAAAATGATTAATAGGTAGTTTCATTATTAGAACTCACTGCTTTTATTTATTTACTAAAAGTCATTCAAGTCTATCATTTTGCTATAAATACATTTTTTTATCATGAAATAAAAATATTTAACAACTACTACTCAGGTATCACAACAGCTTATCTCTATCAGGTACATTGATTTTCAATTCACATATGGTGTTTTTGTTTGTATTTACTTTTTCGTTATATTTTTATCATATGGTGTATTTATTTGTTATAGAAGAACAAATCATTATAAATTTTTATGAATTTTTTAAAAATATCTGCTGGTTATTAGTCCAGTCAACATTTAAAGTTCAATGTTGCATATAAGATTTTTAAATAGTTTCTAGGCTTTTTTAAATGCTAATAATGTTTAATGATAACAGATGCATAATATTAGGCTCGAAAAAGTTGTTAATGTAAATGGTTATAGGTGACTTGAAATTGTTGTTATATGAAAGAGATAGATCTAGGCGTGATAAAATTAATTGTCGTTAAAATATAAGAAATTTTGCTTGATGAACAGAAAACTTACTTCTCGGTGTAGTTAAGGCACTTTCAAAATATTATAGCGTCTGTATGATATTTTGTTGATTATAACATATTTCCGTGAAATTGTCTGGTCTGTGAATTATGAAAAGACGAAAAAAATTAAAATAATAAATTTTGCGGTAAAATATAAATGTTTGTAGCGAAAAAACCCAGACCGTGGAAACTTTTTTTTATTTAAAAATCATCTTAAAATTACAATCGCTTGTCCAAATTTAAATAAGATTTTATTTTAATACGTTTTTTAGGTGAAACGAACATTATAGTTTAACAAAATGATCTGTTCTGATCGTTTATTAGCAATTATTTATAATTATAAGCTCTTTCTTGGTCGGAATTCCAGTATTTTTTGTGAAAATTGATAGAAGTATTGACAACTATATATAGTTAATATACGTCAGAACCGATTTGAACTAGAATCAGTAGTAAATTAAGTAACTTTTAAAAAAGATTTTAACTAAATTCATGTTAATGTCGATGAGCGAAATTGATCTAAAGACTCCAAAATAGTGTTCTTTAGATACATTATTAAGGGTTGTAAAAAGATTTTAAAAATTATATATAAAAAAGAAAAGTTTCTATAAATATTATAAAAACCTTAAGCAAAAAAAATTATAACATTTAAAGATCTTGTTGGGCATAATATGCTGATAAAACCATGCTAATTCCAAATAAAAGTATTCAAATATTTTGTAAATTGCCTTAACTACACCGAGTTGCCAGAATTCAGTGTCAAGGGGTGTTGATGTCTATTATTTGATTTTACATTAGATACTTTAAAATAAAGCAAAGAATGAATTTTACTATAATAACAGTTTAATAACAGTTTCAATTTTAAATGATTTTATTTATTTATTTATTTATTTTTTTTGTAATCTCAAACATAATTGTGTTCATTTTTTTTTAGTTGTCTTTGTCATCACTTGATTATTTTGCTTACTGTTGAAACATGGTTTTAATTTTGTAAATTTAATATGATGTGAAATTTACTCTATTAATCATTTGAAATTTACTATATTAATCAACAGTTAGAGAGAAGCTGAAATTTAATTAAGAAATGCTGGAAATTAACTTTTAGTTAAGGTAAAAATAATTTTGTTTATTGGTAGCATAATAAAACCAGTTACTATTATTTATTGCATGACTTTTTTACTTTTTCTAACATGCTGCTTTTGAAACACTTCCTCTCTCTCTTAGATGAGAGAATTATGAAGATAAAATGAGAGAAGTAAGAATTAGTACAGGGAGAATTGACTAAACTCATGTAATTACTGAGCTCTTGCATATTTTTTAATACTACAATTGATAATAACCATTTGTAAGATATATTTACGAGTTGCTATTGCTATTTAAAGATATAATTCTTTAAATTGTCCCTTGGTTGTTCTAATATTGTAAAAAATAAAATCTTTTTAGTTTCAAGTATTTTACTTTAGGGATTGTCTATACATTATGTAACGCGAAATTAAACATATAGACAAAAGAAATATCTCAAAAACCGTGTTTCTCTCATAGTTAACTATATGCTGCATGTTCAAGAACTAGAGTATTTATTAGTTTGTTTTTCAAAATTGATAAACATCTTATTCAAGGTATAGTAGGTAAAAAATGTTACATAAATATTGTTATATTTTCTAATGTTCTTAATTTATAGTTTTTAGATTTTCATTTCGAAAATTTTCTGTTAAAGGTTGTGAGCACATTTTGTATGTATAATTTCATTTATTATTAATTTTTTTCATAGTTTTTGATAAATATATCTGTCATTCAATAGTTGTAAAATGTGTTTATATGTGTTACATAAAGTCATACTTTTTTATAGTTGTATATATGTTTAAATTATGTTGTTTCCATGTTTTCAAAGTGATGTGTCTTGGTATTATGTTAAGCAAGTTTGATAACCTTGCCAGCCAAGCGGTGTACTTATAACAGAGGTGTGATTTGGCAGCATTTAGTGCCAGGTGGTGTTACTGCTTTAGAGCTAGGTTGTGTTGTCTAGCTTTTTTTAATTATTCTGGAAACACATAATAATGTCTGTTAATGTTTAACCTAATGTGGATAAGAGAGTATACAACCTTAATCTTTAAATCTAGGGTGCTTTAATGTGCTAAATTTGAAATAATTGAATAACTAATATTGAATATAAAAACAAATATATTTTATTAAAGTTTATTTAAAAGATAAATATAGTTAACTTTAAATTGATTTTTTTTTTTGCCTTTCATATTTTAATTTAGCTTATTATTTTCATTGGATTTTATTGTTATGTGTTATTGTTGTGATTTTTTGTGTTGATAAACAGCTTACCTTCATGTGGTGTTTATTATTAAAAATGAATAATAGATAGTTTCATTATTAGAACTTACTGTTTTTATTCATTTACTAAAAGCCAAAACAACAATTTATATCTTAGTTTGATTTTTCTAGTATTGTTAATGCTTTTGTACTTCGAAACAGATTTTATAGTTACATTTTCAATAAATTTTTATATTAACTGCAATTTCAAAATAGGTTATTATAAATAGGTAAATCGATTTTCGGTAATTGTGTGGTGGTTTTTGTTTTTTTTCTTTGTAATTATGATATCATAATTTCATTACTTTTTTATTTTAGATTTATGTTATGACCCATTTATAAGATTTATAAAATAAAAAAAACCTAATTTCCTTTTATTGTAAATTTTTGTTAGTTAAAAAGATATAAATATATGCTATTAGTTAAACTTTTTTTAAATTTTATCTATTTTATGCCTAATAATTTGTTGTACGTATTTTAGGGGATCTTTGTAAATGGGGGGTCGTAACTAAAAACCTTTAAAAACATGGAGAATATTGTAGTTTTGCGCATTTAATATTGAGTTACTTAAGTTTTATTTATGTGTTTAACTAATTTTTTTTTTTTTTTTTAAATTATCTTCGCTTCCAACAAGGTTGCAAGCAACCACTAATTAGTGTTGGAAATTACTGGAAGAGAAAAGATGAAGATTGTAGAGCAAGATAACGATTGACAGACGACGTAAAATATTGCAAATTATATGAATCAGAAAAGCAAGATGAAGGAAGCGAATTCCAAAGAACTGATGTTTGAGGAAAAAAACTAGACGAATAAGAGTTTTTGGAGCACTTAGGAACAGTAACAGAAAAAGGATGAGACTTAATTGAATGACGAGTAACACGAGAATGAAATTTAGTAGATGGCACAAGAGACGCTAGCTCTTTAGAGCAGTGCCCATTATAGTATTTGTAGAAAAGAGAAAGAGAATCAACATTACGACGATGTGACAGAGGTTGAAGGTTGGCTGCAAGAGCAGGTCCAACTATGTTTACAATGTGTTTTTGCACCTTGTCTAAAAGAGAAAGAGAATTAGTTAGCTTAGTCTGTATTTGCAACACTTTTGAGGAAAGAAAGGAAACATTTTTATATATTTGTAAATCATTGTTTTAAATTTTATTATTTTGGTAAAAGGTCTTCAAAAACATGATTACTCTTAATAAAAAAACTCTACTCACCTGGCTGCCATTAAAGCAAAAAGAGGGGAGAAACCTCTTTATTAGTGTAAAATACTTAGGAAAATTAAATTTCGAGTTACAAAAAGAATTTTTAGCAAATGGTGGCAAATTACCCTTTACTAAAAGTTAATGAAATAAAGAGGCCAAACAAATAATATAGAAATGGTCTGTGTTGAACAGACTAAACAAGACCAGGGTCGGGTCAGCTTGGTTTACAAATTTTTATGTCTACTTATCTGTTATAATTTTTATTTTAGGTTTTTCATATGATGCATTAATGCATTAAGTTTACATATTTTTTCAAATTTGTTATACCCATGTTTGATCGTAAATTGAATTTTTTTTGTTTGAAACGTATTTGTACTCAGTTGCTTAGTTATTTATAATAAACTTAGTTATTTGTAATAAGTTTATTTAGTTGTGTGCATTTAATATTTTTAAGTTAACAATTTTCTTTTCTAAAAAAAAATTAATCAAGGGGATACCAAAAAATTGACTCCTGTATAAAATAAGTTCATTTTAATCTTAATTGTTCATGTTATAAAAATTATTACAAGGATTTAATTCATACATATTTAAAGCATGACGAAGTGTTATTATTTTGTGTCAGTAACTAAAAACGTATTGTGTTGAACTTAGGAAGGTCGATGAAAATTGTTCTGCCTTATACTGTTATGACCTATGTCAGTTGTAAATTACTTGAATAATGTTAAGTAGTAATTGTAAATGTTAAGTAGTAGTTATTAAATTATTTTACTTCCTCATACTTTTTATGTTAATTTTACAGATGGATTAATTTTTTCAAGCTGAAGGCATTTTTCTAAAAGGGTATTAGTTAAGGTTTTGAAACATTAAATTGTGGAAAACAGCCACTATAAATTAATTATGTAACAGACCGACCAAAACCCGTATTACGGGTTGCTTTTTGCTAGTATAGTATAATATCTGTTAATAATAATAAAAAAATATTAAATAATTATATATATATATACATATATATATATATATATATATATATATATATATATATATATATATATATATATATATATATATATATATATATATATATATATATATATATATATATATATATATATTATAACTATTATAACTTTTTGGAGAGAAAAAAAAGAGAACTAAAAAGTTTTTTTAAACCCTATCTAAATTCGATACATAAACTTAACTACAAAAAATTTGTTTTTGAGTTAAGTATGCAAAAACACTTACTAAAGTCTTCTTTTTTTTTTAAATTTAGCCATTAATATAAAAATGAATGTAATATATGTTAATTGTTATTTCATCAATGAACAAAAAAAGTAGAATGGATATAATTACTTGGATATACCTTATTTAGAGAACTTATTTTCATTTGTTTTTACAAATCCTTATTTGCTAATAACTATATAATATATTAATAATATTATATATTATACAGCAAGGTCAATTTGGTTATATACTTTTAGTGCAGCTCATTTTCATTACAAGCCATAAACTTGCATTATAATAGTTTTGTTTATATTAAAACAAATCAATGAAAAATAACAACTGCTAAATAGCCAAATGCTAACATTATAATAAATATATATTATTTTTATATAAAAATATGTATATAATATTTAATTATGTTAACTTAACTTAAAATACAAGTCTGATAGAAAAAATAATACAAAATAAAATAAACGTCAAGTATTTAAAAAAAGAAAAAAAAAATTACAAATAAAAAAATATTTATTACTCTCTTGATTCACTTGAATCCAAACTGATCCTTTCATCATCTTCATAATATAACTTGACAAGTTCTGTTTTAATATCCAAATCATGTTTTAGCTGCAATTCCTATATACAAAAACATACATATATACAAAAACATACAAATATACAAAATATACACATATAAAAAAATATACAAATACTTATAAACAAAAATATGCGTATTTACAAAATCATACATATATACAAAAATATTCATGTATTAAAAAACATGCATATATAAAAAAAACATACACAAATACAAAAATGTATAATAATACTCATATTATTTTTGTTTTGTTAATAATTTGTTATTAACATAAGTTATTTTATTTTACAATACAATAACATATCGATTCCAATTATAACAATCAACTATTTTGTTTACCTTTTCTTTGGTTTGTGACAAATATTCCTCTATCTTTTCTATTTTTGTCATTAACTTTTTGTTACGCTGAAGCAGTGACTAAAAATAGTTTTTTTATTTATTTAAACAACTAGTAATTATATTTTTAAAATAATGATTACACCATTATCTTAGCTCTAAACTTTTTATAATTTTTTTTTTATTGATAAGCAAAAATAATTCATTAAATTATTTCCTGCTTTTAATGATTATAAACTTTCTTTATATTATATTTTAAATAAAAAAAATACAAAACTAAGAATTTTCTCAGGCATATATTTTGAACATTGAAAAGAAACCTGGCCTATCTTTGCTGCTAACTCTAAATCTTTCTCTCTCTGAAAAAAAATCAAAAATAATAATAACAATAATAAATAAGAACTGAAATTGATTGAGAACATTAAACTTCTTTAAAAAAAAAAAAAATTCCTAATACATCATTTAGTAGACTAGATATCATTTCTAAATCATTGCAATGTGTTTTTGTCATCATGTTTGTTCGATCTGATGTGGATGCTGGATAAAAAAACTATAAACTGTCAAAATGAAAAATATATAACAAGTTTAAAAATCAAAAACATCATAAATTTTAAAATAAAAAGCATATTAAATGTTTGAAAATTAAAAATAAGAAGCTTTTTATTATAAAACCATTTAATATAGGAAAAAAACAAACAAAAAAACAAAAAAACATAATAACTTTTAGCTATTTTTTAATAATGTTATTATTGTATACTATAAAGTTTAAAGCTGTCAATCAAAACAAAAATAAACCTACATATATTAATAAAATACTATTTTACTGTAAACAAAGTTAACAATACTAATATACAATATAAATAATCTGAAATTGCTTGCAATACATTTGATCTGTAATTTTAATCAAAATATCTATAACCTTATGATTACATTTTCCTGTTTTATATTTAAAACTCTACAAAGGTCATTTGCTAAATGTTAAAAACTTAGAAAAAAAAAAAAAAAATATATATATATATATATATATATATATATATATATATATATATATATATATATATATTCTTTAAAAAATAAATTTTAAATATTATTTATTGACTCTGTATTACAAATTATCATATTATTTAATAATATGATAATTTGACTTTAAAAAACTTTACACAAACTTTAAAAATTTAAAATTTAAGAATGCAAACACACTTAAAATGATTTAAAAAAACCTGCAATGCATTGAAAATAGTGTAAAGAATGAAACCTGCAATGCATTGAAAATAGTGTAAAGAATGAAACCTGCAATGCATTGAAAATAGTGTAAAGAATGAAACCTGCAATGCATTGAAAATAGTGTAAAGAAAAAAAATTTGAAACTACAATACACCTTATATGGTGTAATGAAAAAAAGGCTAAATAAAAATATTAAGGAGATAAGAAAGAGGAAAGATTAGGGAAAAAACATTGTGTACATCTGTTAACAATGCAATCCTTAGCAAATTATTGCAGTTAATTATTTCTCTGTCTAATTGACTAATTTGATATATAATTAGTTTACTTGTCAAATCTTGATACATAATTAAACAATTATTTGTATAAAATTAACAATATGGTCAGTATAAAATTAACAAAATTGGTCAGTATAAAATTAACAAAATGGTCAGTATAAAATTAACAAAATGGTCAGTATAAAATTAACAAAATGGTCAGTATAAAGTTAACAAAATGGTCAGTATAAGATTAACAAAATAACCATTAAAAAAAATAGCAAAAAGCACAATCATTTAAAAAAATTATTACTCATATTAATAAAAAAATAATGATCATTTAAACAAATACACAGACAATTTAAATACAATCTATCTTGGTATGTGAGACACAAATACACAGACAATTTAAATACAATCTATCTTGGTATGTCTTTTATAAAGTCTAAATAAACATCGAAAAATGTAAAGTAATAAAACTGTTTATTTAAAAGCCTCTTGGCTGCCACAACACAATTAAATTCCTATAAAAGCAGCACAAGATACAACACCTATTTCACAATCTCAGAACTGTGGTATGATAAGACAATAATTAAACATTAACAAGTGAAATCAATTACCAAAAGCTTTCATTTTCCATAGTCATAATAACAGATAGTCTGGCCAGTTGGGCCGTTTTCACAAGATTCTATTGTTTTTAAACAATAAAAGTTAAAATTTTGAATTTTTGTTGAAAATAGTTTATTTTTTGTGCCCAGACTACCAATAAGTAGTCTGGGCACAAAAAATACGAACTCAACAGATAAACAGTGATTACTTGATATTAGATCTAGAATCAAACTTTTTTTTGAAAACTCAAGTTTAACAATAATGTCAGTTCTTTTCTTGTTGATTTTGGGAATAGAAACACTTCAATCAAATTTATTTTTTGCCAATGTATGATAAAAGTCGGAGCATAAACTCAAATGCCACATAACAAAGCAGCATTCAAATAGTGTCTCTTTAACACAGCAAAAAGATGCATAAACTGAGATTAAGCAAACATGTTTTTCAAATAAGTTTATGAATTTTGTTTATAAAAATAATGTTATTGTTACAAATGATCTTTGCTGCAACGTGTTCTACAAATAAGTTCATGAATTTTGTTTTAAAAAACATTATTATTATAAACGATCTTTACTGTCTTCCATATATCAGAGATAAGCTTTCAAAGTACATATTTTTAGAAAATGATACGAAGCTATCATTCAAGTTAATAAAAAGAAGTTATAAAAATTATTTATAATGAAGTTAAAGTTTATTTATTTAAAATTTATAGTTGCAGATCAAAAATAATTTTTTTCACAGATTCTCACCTTTTGTAGGATATAACCTTGCTAATCATATTTAGAAAACAGAAAAAGAAAAAAATTTAGTTCAATATTTTGGTGGATTTAGTACTTTTTATCAAAGAATACGTTGACAAAAAGTTAGCAAAGTTCTCTTTATACGCACAGTGTATGATATAACCGCAAAAAATACATTTATTTATTTAAGATAGCATTCAAAACTCTATTCACAAATACTAACGAAAAATATATATGTATGTGTGTGTATATATATATATATATATATATATATATATATATATATATATATATATATATATATATATATATATATATAAATTAGTAAAAACACTTATCTACTTATCTTCAGGTTTAGATTCAGGGTTCTAATAAGTGTTTTTACTAATTTATCATTGCTTTACTCTTTAAGACCATTGAACACTCTATTTGTAGAATACACTAACATATTTTATATATATATATATATATATATATATATATATATATATATATATATATATATATATATATATATATATATATATATATATATATATATATATATATATATATATATATATATTATAACTTCTTCGCGAAGTTCCAGAACCAAATATGTAACACAAATATTAAAACGAGGCACTTGCAAAAATCAAGGATAAATCAACAATTTTTTTTGTAAATATTCTTCTTAATGGGTCTTTACAAAAAGTGTACACTTATTGGTAGGCTAGGTTCTAAAAAACACTAACAATAAGATAAATAATAGCGCTCTTAATCTGGCCAGACTATGTACTTTATGGCTATACATTTCCTTAAAGTATTTAACAGAAAAGCATATTTTTCTATTAAATATTTCAAAGTACATTTAATTATTTAAAATTGGTAGCTTTCACTCTTTATTTTATATATATTTTTTGAGCAAATATTGGCAATTAAATCATTTTTATTATAATTGATTAAAAACATAGCCATTTTTGAAGTTTAATAATTTGCAGACAAAAAGTTTACATTTAAAAAAGTAGGATTTTTTTAAATAGATTTTGATCACAATTTATTATAAACACAAAAAATCATATAACTTTTTTGTAGGACTATCTTTACAATTAAAAATGAATTTATTATATTTATTTAAGTCAACTAAATTAATACATTTGCAAATTAATGATTTTTTGGAATAAATTAGC